ATGACAGCAGCGCAGTACAAACCATGAGGCAAGCAAAAGAAGGGCAACTACAGGCATCCACTTGCGCTAACACCAAGTGCTTGGCTACCTCCAGACGCCACAAGGCACAATCTATGACATCATCAAATATGATGCTGAAGAAGCTCATGACGCTAATAAACAACAGCCAAGGCAATCGTAACAGAGGAGGAAGAGGAGCAGGAGGCTGCCACTGGGAGGATAATCAACGAGGAGGACGAGAAAGCTGATGAGTAAAATGCATAAGGCAAATAGTCAGGAGCCACTGAGAAGATAATCAAGGATGATAACAGGGGCACTGACAAGTGAAACGTGTGAGATAACATATTGAGAAGCAAGGTGGGGAGAACGAAGAGAGCCCTCTGTCAAGTCCACCCTACAACTTGCCCATTGCCTACTCCTTTGAGCCCCAAAAGTACATCCACCCTACCCCTAAGATGAAGGCCCACAGATTCCCATTTGAATAGATGTCATCGTGACGCATAGACATAATCTCAGCTCTAGAATCCATCTGTCCTCAAAAAAGTGCTCACGGCTTTTCATCTGTCCTCACTCGAGAAACTCTCAGAGTTTGTATCTCGACAGTGTCATCTGTTGAAAGAGAGTTGGCATCCTTGGGCGTGCCCACGATTATGCCTACTACATGTGCAGTCAGTGCTCGTGGTGGGTCCCTGTGAAGACGGAAAAGGGCTTTTTGAGGTGGTGGGTCCCTGTGAAGACAGCAAAGGGCTTTGAGGCAGGGTGAGGGGGCTTTTCTGGAAGGAGAACGAGATGAGAGAGGGAGAGAGGGAGAGAGGTGGAAAATGAGGAGGAGGAGGAGAGTTGACATCCTTGCGCCTGCCCACGATTATGCCTACTACATGTGCAGTCATGCCCCTGCCTAGCAGGTCCCAGTGCTCGTGGTGGGTCCCTGCAAAGACCGAAAAGGGCTTTGAGGTAGGGTGGACAAGAAGACAGCGCTTCACATTCAAGATGCACATACCCCCCCAGTCCAGGACCTGCTCGGAAATTTTCCTCGACGGGCAGCACAAGCGTGTCCAAGAGTTCGCAGCTGACAAAGGAGTCGGAAATATAATGCTTTCTATACACACAATCTACAAGGGCCAAAAAGAACATAGGAAAAAATAGTGCAAGCAACCCTGAGCGTAGGCACTCTCTCTCCTTATGGGTCCTCAATGACTCCTCATGATTACAGTGTGACGACATCTCCCGCCGGAAAATTGTGCACAAGTTACACACCCCAGTTCCGCGAAGTACCCTCTATCTAAACCACACAGCAGTCGAATACGGCCCAAGGAATGCAACCCAAAAAAAAAAAAAAGGGAACTCCCTAAGGATAGTCTTTGGACTGCCTTGAGGAAAAAAAGGAAAGAGTAAACCGCCGAAGTAATGTACTTTCATCTTCCCTGTTTAGGACAATCGGGGCTGCGGCAGCATTCCACCAGCATTCCAACTGTGCATCCTAGTGGCCGCGTACAGAATTGTATGGAAAAGAAACAAAAATAATTAGTTTTAGAAATAGAAACATAATTATGTTCCTCCGAAAGACCTTGAGGGAGAAGGTAAAAGCATTATCCGCAATTTCCTTTACCCTGTTTGGGACAAGCAGGGATGAGACAGCATCCCGCGAGCATGCCAACTAGGAAACTGCTAGTGGCCTGACACAGGATGCTACTGAGCATGAAATAAGGGGCTCGGGTTCTGTTCGACAGTATTTCAGTTCGAACTCTGAGCAGCATTTTACTGTACAAAAAACAAGTGCATATGCCAGCTCCAGGCACACATGGAACGGCCTGACTTGCCTGAGTAGAGAAAAGCCGACAGGGTTCCAACCTATCTGTACCAGAACGAGCGCCAATCCGCCTGCTCAACTTCATCACCCATCATCACCATCATCATCATCGACATCCTCCGTTCAGCACTCATGAGACTCGATACAAAACTATTCCTTCAGCTGCACCCAAAACAAGCAACACCGACCACTGCCTTCTCTTCTCTCCCAAGTTTATACTCTGCCCAGTGTGTGCCAAATTTCTTTGTGTGTACTCTGATTACAACTAAGTTCCGAAAAGCAGCAGGGGCGGTGCAAATCTGGCACTCAGCCCTGGTCACATAACCACCGAGTAGACCGGGGAGGTACATTGAAATGATGGCACACACCTATGACCATCTGGCCTAGCTCAGTTGGTACACACCACACCTGAACTGTTGAAACACACACCTGAGTTCGAACTNCATTGAAATGATGGCACACACCTATGACCATCTGGCCTAGCTCAGTTGGTACACACCACACCTGAACTGTTGAAACACACACCTGAGTTCGAACTCCACTGGAAGCAGATGAGTGAAACACTACAACAAAGATGGCATACCTATGATCGTGACCTAGTTGGAGGAAGTCAGTGAGCCTTGCCTAAAGATTATGGGTGTCTATGGATGGTAGACACCTAGGAGTTTAGAACTACATTACCCAGATCAGGAGTTCAAATCCTCTTGGACTAGTTCAGATCCTCTTGGAATCTCAGCCACAACAATCCTACGATCTAACCACCTTTTTCAAAAAAAAGACAAAAAGAACGGGGGAAAGGGAAAAAGAAGCAGCAAGTGCAGGAGAGGGAAATCGTTCCCAAAGTTGATGGAAAAATAACTGTTAAATCGTTCATCATTTACAAATGTCAAAAGACTCAGATCAAAACATGTATCATTAGAAAAAACAAAGAAAAAAGAAAAGAAAAGAACAGACATCATTGAGAATGAAAGGCAGGGTTCAACAAGTTTTCTTTCTGGCCTTTGCCGTTGGAAATGATCACTGGTTATCAGCAAGCAAGTTTACTCCATGGGCTAATTGCCCAAAACCGCAGCCGTTGACAGATTTACACGTCTGGCAACATTCAATATTGTCCAGCACACTTGTGTTATGAACATGATTGTCTGTTGAAATTTTATCAACACTCACTCACAGGAATTCCCGTACACGCCCATACATGCACAGAAGGAAGGGGAGAGGTAGTGGAGGGTCACACCGCCCAGAAAGGAAAACGCAGCGGAAGACTCAGAAGCGAGGTGACAGAATACACCATTCAGTGAATTCTCTCCACAGAGATCCCAACAATCATTCATAGAAGACAACCGAGTGATCACAGCCAGAAATCAATGAAGAGATGACAACTCAAACACAGTATTACAACTGTTTATTAAACTCAGCGCATCGCCTTCCCTGAATAACCTCAGATCCCTGTTGCCCTACCCTCAGAGGGGTAGTGCCTCAACCCCACCACCTGGAACAGCTAAAAATAGCACCGAAACCCCAGGTAACACCCAGCGCCACCCTGACATCCAACTCAGTGGCCTGCGCCAAGATGAAACAGGCTCCCAGAGCCAATCGCCACCCAGATGATGAAGAAGAAGCTCAGCGCCAACAGTCCCTGATGAAGATGAAGTCCAGACGATGATTTCCTTTGAGAAGATGCAGCTATGGCTGCATTGCCACTGGGACCCTACTCCTGAGGAGGGTCAGCAGTGTACCACGTGCTCCAACGCATCAGACCTCTGATAGCCCAGACCGCCTTGACTCCCAGAGAGTCAGAGCAGACAGCGTTGACCCCAGTGTTACATCTTCGACTCACACGGGTCCTACCGGACCCGACTTAGGGCCGGAGGGACACACCAGGGCCTAAAGGCCCGACCTTTGGGGTTACAGGCCCTAAAGGCCTGATTTTGGACTATCACCCATCGGGTAGGCCCAAACGACACTTCGTTTGGGCCTGGCGGCGCTCTTGAAGCTGCCGCCCGCCGATTGAGGCTGAACCGTCCATCTGGACGGTTCAGGGTCTGGCCTGGCCTCGCAGCATTGAGGCCAGACCATTGCCCACCGGTATAAGTACCGGTATCCGCCTCAGTAGTGGGATCAGCCTACCGGAACTCTACCGGCACGGCATGGTCAGTGCTAGTGCACTGTTTGATGCGCTAAACTTAGCGCAGGGGCTGAAGCAGGAGCGCAGCATAGCGCAGCAGCGAGCGGAGCAGCAGCGGGCGACTGAGCTTGCACGGCGGTTATTACCGCCTGAGGTATCGGGAGCTTGGAGGGTCTCCCCTCCTCTCCCTCGCCAGTCCCCTCTCTCTCTCTCTCCTCTTCCTCCTTCTTCTTCTTCTTCTTCTTCTTCTTCTTCTTCTTCAGATTGGAGACTATCCAGTTGGACAGAGATCAGAGTTGGATTTCGGTGATACGAGACTGTGGTACTTACCTGATTGGAGACTTGGAGATTGTTGAGGTTGATACTTGGCTACATCACAGTTGGACACCGGTTACATCTGGACTCTGTTATCTCCGACATTGGTGACCTTTGGTCCTCGACATTTTGATCTTGTTATATGACATTCTGGACTACCATTTCGGAGACCTATCAGACTCTATCTTTGTGACCTATCGGTGTGATCTACCTCCTACCTCCTTCGTCTCTCCTCCCACCTTTCATCTGTGTATGTGTGTACGAGATCTGGGTATCGTCTATGAATGACCCAGACCCCACCATCTCATGATTGTATGTGTGTGGAGTGATGCCATGTAGGTCAGTCTAGGTGAGTCAGTCTATGTGAGTCAGTTCGTTTATCAGACTTCCGCTGCATACATGCTCATCCTATATTGGTTGATCTTTGGTTCTGCCTATACTCATCGAAGTATGCAACACCAGTCTGGTCAGCGCTACGTAGGTCTGGCTATGTCCGCCGTCTCCAACACCGGAATCAGCAACCACGACCTGATACCGTGTGCGCAGCAACCTCCACCACGAAGTGTCAACTGCCAAAAGCCCAGGACCGATGTCCCCATCCTATCTATACTCTAACACTAGCCTAGACCGACCTAGACCGGACTGACCGACCGACCGGTACCGTTTCTATTTCGGTCTATAGGGCCTCTCCCTACCCAGCTATAGGCTATAGGACCGTCTATCAGCATAGGCCCATAGGGCCTGTCTGTCCTAGGGGTAGCCCGGGTCTGCTATTCGCAGTTAGGGTAGCCGTAGGAAAATCGAGTTAGTACTGGGCCCATATTTCTATATTTACAGATATGTCCCTCACAAATTTTCCATACAGGCAGGTCTCTCGGTTAGTCCTCAGCCAAACAAAATTACAAATCTGTCCCTAACCATGGTACAGCCTCGTCAGAGCAAGGATACAGGCAACCTGGAACTAGCAAGTCATTGCACTTGTAAGTTCAGAGTGCTTCAGGATATTTGGGGGGTGGGGGGGGTGGGGGGGGTGGGGAAGAAAGAAAACGACGCTGACAAACGGCATGATATCATTCATCAATCAACCGGGAAATGCAGCTACTACATGAATGTCTCATCTCTATGCTCAGCAGTACCTTCTTCGCCCGAATACAACGTACAGTCATTATTCCTGTATTTAGACTGAAAGATACCACAAATACAGCTGTGATGACCATACGTTGTTTCGGGTGAAAGAAAGGCAGCATAAGTTGCAACGATACAGGGAGACGCAAGCAAACAGCAACAACACAACACATTAGCGCGCAAGGGATGATCGATACATGAACATAGATAATTTAACAGAACTTACCAGCCTATTGTTGCAAGAACAATCCCGAAGAGGAGAAAATCAATGAAAACCACTGACAGTACCAAAAGAACGGAGTGACTTACATCCTCACCATACCTGCAGCACAAACAAGATCTCATCATTTTAGTGGCCATGGTTAGCCGCCATGTACAATTTGATCATAATTCTTTTCGATATTTACAAGTGACACCAAGGTTCTCATAGTGCGTAACATTGGATGTCTCACGTGCGCAGCTAGCGTGAGTTTCTATGGACTTGTAAGATCGTTGCACGGCCACCATTTTGACAAGAAGAACAGACAGAAAAGCAAGACGCAACAAAAAATGAGCAGCCAGCGTCAGCCACAAGGTTGACGTCTTTCGCACACAGTTACGACTTTGCTTATGACTTTCCTGTTATCAATTGGACTGTCCTTGTTATATAAACATGGTCCAAGTAACCAGAGTACCTACCATACCCACCAGCCATCGCAACGGGATTTGCACTTACGGAGTAGCTGTTGGGCCTCAGCAGTGTACCGGGGCAACAAGCAAGGTTGATCAGCCAGCCTGTCTGAACATAACATGCCATTATTGCGCTCATGTAGCATTCCAGAAGAATAGGCCGCCATCCTGCAGGATTTTTCCCCTCCATGAAGCAGCTCTTCCGTACATGAAGGGAGTCGGGAAACTGTGGTAGGTCGCTGAGCAAGGGTCTTGTTGGGCGATTCTTCAAGCCTGGCCACGGTGCCAGACCATCATCACTGGCTCTGGCCTGGGTAGGGTCTGCACACGTCTAGTACAAACGGCGCGCATACACCAAGAGGCATCAAGGAGGCCGTCTGAGTGCATGCAGAAGACACTGGGAGGAGGAAAGGGGATGCTGGCTATCAGGGTTGGAGACAGACCGCCACAGCCGGCTATGGTGGTACAAGAGAGTCCACCATAGCCAGATATGGATGTCCGGCGATCCAAGATACATGGCTGGAAATGGAAGTCTGGCTGTGGTGATCCAATAAGAAAGGACAAAGACAATTTATTGATTTCTACTATTTGAAATTCTAAGAACAAGATTACTTGTACTAAAGAGAATATAAGTAAGTTTGTTATTGTGTTATTTGAAATTCCCTTTTTTTTCAAAAGTTAACAACAAAAAGCTAGTAAACATCAGAAAGATGGGTATCAGCATAGAAAGATGTATTGATGTACCAAATTGGCTAATACTAGAAGCGACCATGCCCAAAGAGAGGCTCGCTCAAAGGCTATCCGACAGCAATTTCTTCCTTCCTGTAGATTCTAGGCTGTGATCCTTGGTAGATAAACATAGCCATAGCCTCCACAGTGGGATTGCAAATTTGCCAAACTCCACTTGTCATTTCCGACTCCCCTCGGTTACTGGAGGAACCTCAATCAAGCCTTTGAGCTCGTTTGCGTCCCTCGAGCTCAGCACGCAATGCATCGGCATGAGTGTTGCTTTCACTGGATAACGACGAGGGAGGGTTAACTGCAGATGGGTGGACTGCTAAGTTCAGACATCAACATACCTTTACGACAAATTAGAAAGACGGGGTGCTAAGTACTAACAACACTAGTACGGTTTTGCTATGCAGACTTTAGCCAAAGGAGGACAGCATATCCTGGCATTTTGGCCCAGATTCTATCAGATCATCATTCGGATAGACTTGCATGAAGCCGATCCAAATACAGGCCATGTGCATGTTGATACATCATAATCATCATGCCTAGATGGCTCTGCATGCAACAACCACCTTTCAAATGCTGAGAAGACAGCAAACTGACCGATCCCACTACAACAACAACATTTAAGGCACTGAGGCAATGAAAAGAGACCGAGTGAAATTCATGCTGTTGAAGAGCATGCTTGAAGAGGCAAGGGATGCAAAGGGAGCTGCTACTTACGCAGCACAGAAAGAGCTACCCGCCACAGCCAGAAGAAGACAGCATATAACAACAAAAGCAGGATCGTCCCTCGCCCACTGATTTTTGGTCTCTGTTCACAGAACAGCCAAGCATAACATCAATGCACACAATCATCAGGTTTGAAAAAATGGCAGGTAGGAACTAACCTGTCAGAGACTACTCATCCATAGCTTGGAGGGGCCTATGGCTGCCATCATAGACAAAGCGTTGTACCATATTCATTCCAGATGCCTCATCATCTAATCGTAGCATACAGTAGAGTAGCCCCACCCTTATGCAGATTTCCTTCATGAAGAGAGGTCGACATGCTGCATCACATGAATGCTCAGCATCATATCAGCCAGCCGCTGCAGCGAAATCATAGCCACAATCCACGCTGCAGGTTGTGCAGAGTTCACTTCAGCCACCTGTGTATCCCAGCCTCGTTTTCTTAATGCTCAGTTTTGCCCAGCCCTCCACTACCAAACTGCTATGGGACTCAGGCTGGGAATGGCAGCCATATGGATCAGATGTTTGCACCAAAATGCTTTTCGATTCGCAACACTTTTTGTGTACTTTTCTACTTGTTGTGTACCATCAGCCATGATTCTTTTCAGGTTCTCCGTTGAAGGCTGGGCTGTTTTCCCATGCACGCGGGTGCGAACATCGTGCCCATACACACGCCCTGCTGCCCGGCAGGGCAGGACCTCCAGGCAGGGTCCGGGCAGGCCCAGCGCCAAATCACAAAACTTGAAAAAAGAAATTAGAAAGAAAATTACACCCATGATTCTTTTCAGCTTCTCTGTTGAAGGCTGGGTTGTTTAGCTGTGTGCAATGACTTGCTGATTTCTGCTGCCGAGATCTGACTGCGAGGTTGTATAGTAGTGTCCTAGGGTCAGATTCGTAATATTGTTTGTGTTAGGGACTAACCGTGGGTCCAGTCCTGAGGGAAATTCGTGAGGGACATATCTGCAATTTACACGAAAATTGCAGGCCTGAGTTCCCCTTAGCCGTTACTGCCCTTAGCAGACCCGGGCTAATATCTCCAGATGCGAGATGGGCGCCAGTGGTCCACCCATGAGTACCCAGACGCAGATACCCACAGGGGTAGATGCGCTGTGGATGCCCCAGCTATGGCATGGTTGTGTTTCACTGCTTACTTTGATCTGTGTGCAGTTGAACTCTGTCTCCTCTTCCCCTCGTCTAATGCATGTATGGGCGTGTATGAGATTGTCTGTGTGTGAGTGGCGGTGAAAATCGTCAGACAACCAAGTTCATAACATGTGCACCCTGGCACAAATCTTGTGCCCGTACTCACGCCCTGCTGCACGGCCGATCACGACATCCGGGCGGGGTCCCGGGCAGCCCCAATGCCAGATCACAAAAAGAAATTAGAAAAAGAACTACAATTCTGAGGAAAAAAAAGAGATGCAGCAACTAAATCGCCGAGCGGGCGCCAACCTGCACCCGACCATACCCTTCCATGGCTCCCCAAACCTCCTCAAAACCCCACATCTGACCCCCACCAATCCCTTCAGACATTGTTAATGCTCTGAAAATCTGAAGTGCCGCCACATAACAAATGACAACCGCTCAAGTCCACCCACTGGGATGGTGTGTCACTCAGCCACGAGGCAGGCTCATATTCCCAATTTTCATGTGTCTTCATTTGTGAAAACGACGTTCCATTGCCTGGTGCCTGTTGAGCAATCATATGGCGTCAACCAGTAGGGCATGGTGGGACAAGACATCTACTCTAAGGCGGTAATAGCTCCAACCTAGAGTCCCGTGGCTGTCCCTGGTCCCAAAGCTGCATGTTATGGTGCCACCGCGGTCTCAAAACTGTAGGGTACGGCAGTGGAACGAGGCCCTACCTCTCGTGCTTCCATCCACCTTCGCCTTGAGCACATAAAACAAAAAATGGAATAAGAAGACCGCAAATTCCATGCTCATACCAGCCATGCTCCAATCACACTCCATCTTCAAGAATTGGTCAGCCACTCAACCATCAGCGTTCCAAGCTGATGGAATTGGCCAGCCACTCAACCATCAGCGTTCCAAGCTGATAGAGGGGGAGTGTGCACGGGCATCACAAGATGCTTTCCACGGGTTGGGAAAAGGCGAGGAGGAGGGGGAGACTGGAGGGGAATCTCGAGATCCCTTTTCAGACATGAGGGGCATCAATTTATCCTGGATGCACATGGAGAGGATAGGAGGGGTGCTCAGTGATTGCAAGGGGGCTTCCATGCATGGAAGACGAGAGAGGGGTCTCAAGTTGCACCTCGGAGGAGTTTTCACACATGGAGGGGGGGATGGGGGGGGAGCAGTGGGTGGCATCCCGTCTGGTTCATTGAGAATCATGGACGGGGATGTTTCATGTGGTGCCGTTCCATGCATAGGAGGGACGGGGAGGAGGGGTGTGGAATGGCATCATGTGGGGGTTCACACATTGGGGAAGAGAGGGAGAGTGTCGGCAGTGTTGCGAGAGGGGCTAGGGATTG